GTAGAGATGGAATTCCGAACCAACTATCAACTATAACCCCAAAAGAACTAGATTCCGTAAACAACATAGAGGAAGAATAAAGGGAATATCATATCGAGGTAATCATATTTGTTTCGGGAAATATGCTCTTCAGGCACTTGAACCCGCTTGGATCACATCTAGACAAATCGAAGCGGGTCGACGAGCAATGACACGAAATGCACGCCGTGGTGGAAAAATATGGGTGCGTATATTTCCAGACAAACCAGTTACAGTAAGACCCGCTGAAACACGTATGGGTTCTGGGAAAGGATACCCGGAATATTGGGTAGCTGTTGTTAAACCAGGGAAAATACTCTATGAGATGGGTGGAGTAAGTGAAACTATTGCTAGAAGGGCTATTTTAATAGCCGCATCCAAAATGCCTATACGAACTCAATTTGTTATTTCGGTCTAAAAATGTAGAACCGACAGAAATGAGTTTTGGGAATGAAACAAAATTGCAGGTTTCTTTTTTTGGACAACCAATATCTCTTTTAGTTTTTTCATCTTTTGCATTGAAAGAATAGAGCAAAAACTTGATATGATTCAACCTCAGACCCATTTGAATGTAGCGGATAACAGCGGAGCTCGAGAATTGATGTGTATTCGAATCATAGGAGCTAGTAATCGTCGATATGCTCATATTGGTGACGTTATTGTTGCCGTGATCAAAGAAGCAGTACCAAATATGCTCCTAGAAAAATCCGAGGTAGTCAGAGCTGTGATTGTTCGTACCTGTAAAGAACTTAAACGTGACAGCGGTATGATAATACGATATGATGACAATGCTGCAGTTGTAATTGATCAAGAAGGAAATCCAAGGGGAACTCGAATTTTTGGCGCAATTCCCCGGGAATTAAGACAATTAAATTTTACTAAAATAATTTCATTAGCTCCCGAGGTATTATAAAATAAAATAAGATCGTGATATCTTTGATTTATTTGACAGAAATAAATTAATAACGAAATTAATTCGTAGTATTGTGTCTCACGTATACACCTTGCAAAATTCATACTTCGAAACCAATAAAAACAAAAAAACATGTTGATTATATCCAATTTGAAAGCAACAATCATCTTAGTTCATCATGGGTAGAGACACTATTGCTGAGATAATAACCTCGATACGAAATGCCGATATGGATAGAAAAAGAGTTGTTCGCATAGCATCTACTAATATTACCAAAAATATTGTTAAAATCCTTTTCCGAGAAGGTTTTATCGAAAACGTCCGAAAACAGAGAGAAAAAGACAACTATTTTTTGGTTTTAACCCTGGGACATAGAAGAAATAGGAAAAGACCCTATAGAAAATTTTTAAATTTAAAACGGATTAGCCGACCGGGTCTACGAATCTATTCCAACTCTCAACAAATTCCTAGAATTTTGGGTGGGATGGGAATTCTAATTCTTTCTACTTCTCGAGGCATAATGACAGACCGGGAGGCTCGACTACAAGGAATCGGCGGAGAAATTTTGTGTTCCGTATGGTAATCCTTTTACTATCGAAATGGAATCCGAAACCTCTTCCTATTTGTAAAAAAAAGAAAGAGGATCAGTTGCCTAATATCCTTTCTTCACCATTAGTTGATACTTCAGGGGGTCTTTACCTGGAATGAAAGAACAAAAATGGATTCATGAGGGTTTAATTACTGAATCACTTCCCAATGGCATGTTCCGGGTTCGGTTAGATAATGAAGATCTGGTTCTAGGTTATGTTTCAGGGAAGATCCGACGTAGTTTTATACGGATACTGCCGGGAGATAAAGTCAAAATTGAAGTAAGTCGTTATGATTCAACCAGAGGACGTATAATTTATCGACTCCGAAACAAGGATTCGAAAGATTAGGTGGTTTTTATTCACTACGATTCTAGATGAAAAATTTCAAGAAACTTCTTTTCTACCAAAAAGTAAATTCGGAATTAAGATATAAGATAAGGAATAAAAACTATGAAAATAAGAGCTTCTGTTCGTAAAATTTGTGAAAAATGTCGACTAATTCGCAGGCGGGGTCGCATTAGACTAATTTGTTCCAACCCGAGACATAAACAAAGACAAGGATAATCCGACTTGCTAAAGGACTCAATATACAAATAAAGAATCTCTTTTGACATGAAATGGATATATCCATATATTTCTGACTCATATTTATGAGATGATACAATATGGCAAAAGCTATACCGAGAACCGGTTCGCGTAGGAATGTACGTATTGGTTCACGTAAGAGTGCACGTAGAATCCCAAAGGGAGTTATTCATGTTCAAGCAAGTTTCAATAACACAATTGTAACGGTTACAGATGTACGGGGTCGGGTAGTCTCCTGGTCCTCGGCCGGTACTTGTGGATTGAAGGGTACGAGAAGAGGGACACCCTTTGCCGCCCAAACAGCGGCAGCAAATGCTATTCGTACAGTAGTCGATCAAGGTATGCAACGAGCAGAAGTCATGATAAAAGGCCCCGGTCTCGGAAGAGACGCGGC